ATCTCACTCAATATTTTCAGGGGTTTTGTGGCCAATCATTGATGAGTCCCCAGTTACTTAGAGATCTATTTATGGGTTCAAGGGATAAAGAAGCAAGTTTTAATCAGGTTCCCTCTGAAGTCCAACATGTTTGCACCTCCCTATGGACAGTGCCAGGCTGAGAAGGTCCCAGCTAGCTAAATCTAATGCAGAAACAACTGGGGAAAAAACTGGACGGCCTAAACATCAACTTTGAACTTTGCCTGTTAATTCAGTTGATGATTCCACAAAGCTCAGGAAAGAGGGTTTCTCGCCAATCCAGGTTAAGGAGAACAGATGCTTCCATGATGGTCAATGGAGTTTAACTCAAGGCTCAATTCTGCAGAGCACACACAACTGTCAACCACTTGGTGGGACACTCACTCAACACACTCACAGGGGTTCTGCAATTGTCCTGCAAAGGAACTGAGAGGGTCCCACCAATGCTGAGTGTGCTGAGGCTGGCCAAATGCAAACATGATTGCAAACACCTTAGACTCTGGTGAACTTTCCTAGCCTTGAAGTCCCTGGGACTCACCTCCTGAGAGGTTTTCTGGCTGACCATCCATGGTGCACGAGGCTTCCAACCGAGAGGGGTGCTTTGACCTGTACACCCCTCCCAAAATTAGCTATTCTACACATCAACCTGGCATTCAGAAACTACAGCTGGAGTCTGGAGCCACCAGAGATCGTGGTAGCAGGCACTGAGAGTGGAAGCTGAGGACCTAACAGTGGGACAGCTTTCAAATAATGGAGATGGGATATTGGTCCTCCTATGGCTCCTTATTGTGAGGATGGACCTGCCCATCCCATCACCAGCTTCCCCTCTCACTCAAACGCCCAGTTCTCCCTTCCAGGCCGAGCTGTAGATATTAACTTTCCCCCTGCAGACAGGAAACATAATCCATACACAATCAGCCAAGAAAACACAGAACACGGGGATTCTGAACTGTACCGCTGAAGCATGTGGAGGTCTTCTGGGGTGGACTTTCATATAAAGCCTCAGAGATGGGAATGTCACCATAGGGATTCCACAACAAGTGCTCCTACAAAATCAGAGGAAATGCAACAAGGTCCTCCTAAACCAATTTCAGGATGGTTGTGGCAAAAAATTTTGCCACCATCTCAACTGCAGACCTCACGGCACCACTTTATTATTCAAACTAAGAAACATCAACATTTAATGACTCTTATTGTATCAATATGGAAAGACTACACAGAGAGTTGCAAGGAAACTAAAACAAAAACTTCTATCCACTCCATCATTTTCTATCTCTTGGCCAATGATGCAATCCAAAGGCTGTCACTTTCCTGTCACTCAGTCAGCTTTCATGCAAACTGATATTTCTAGAACCGATGACAAATGAAATTTCACTTCAGTTACAAGCAATTATATAGCCAGGTCTAATTTAGGATTAACACATGGAAATTTTGTTGAAAAGAAAAGAAAAAAACTCTTAACATTAGGTTGGGTTGAAGTAACCTTATTGTTTCCATGGAGTAAAAGTACAGGGAGCACTAAAGTTCAGTGGCACCAACTTCCCAAGCTCTGAGTGACCTTCCCTAGCAGGCCTGGAGGAAAGAGGCCATATTGAAGGACAGCAGAAGTCACTTTGCTGGATGTGGAAGTATCTTGCTCCAGAATCACTTTCTGGACATGTCCTAACAGGAAGGAATAAGGCCACTACAGAAGAATGCTACAGGGGATCTCTCTCTGGTTTTTCAGTAATATGAAATATATAAATATGTCAGGTATTGAAGTCGTTTTTTCCCCCTAAGATAAAAGTCTTTGCAAGGTCATTCTTAGCTTCCCTTGATGCTTTTATTTAGTCTACAGTAGGTTTCCTTATACTGAAAGTCTCCAGCTATGTACACAACCTGCTCTTTCAGCCTTAACCAAATAGCTTACAAGGGATGCTTCTCTCTGGTAACAATGTTTCAAGTCCACTAGATGGCAGTGTTAGCTTGTATCAACTCTCGATATTTAAATCTTCCATTTAAACTTCTAGTCCAAACCCCCTCTAAAGCAAGAGACCCTACATCATTTCTGACAGATGGCAGTCCAGTCCGTTCTTGAAAGCTTCCAGTGATGAAGTTCCCACAACTTCTGAAGGCAACTTCTGTTCCATTGGTTGATTGCTCTCACTGTTAGAAAATTTCTCCTTACTTCCAGGTTGAATCTCTCCTTGTTCAGTTTCCATCCATTATTCCTTGTCTGGCCTTCAGCTGAGAGAGCTGGGGGAGGGGGAGGGAAAGAGAGAGAGAGGAGAGAGAGAAAAGGGGAGAAAAAGAGAGGAAAATGAGAAAATGATGGAGGGAGAGAATGAGAGGAAAAAGGGATAAGCAAATGAGAAGGAGAGATGCAGGTAGAAAAGGAGAGGAACAGAAATTAGAGAGTTGGAGAGAGAAAAAACAAGACAGAGAGGGAGGGAATGATCCATTTCCCACAGAAAACACTAGGAGCCACAAAACCAAGTAGGTGTGGCTGTGTGGGCCATGTGACTGGGTGGGAGTGATGTTGAGTTGGCCACACCCACCTAGGTATTGTGGCTCCCAATGTTTTCTATGGGAAATGATCCCAAACAGCTTTTTGAGTATTTAAAATTGCTGATCCCTGGACTAAGTGAAGGCCAGAGACAATTTGGCTAATGTTCTTGTCTACTTCCATCTTAGATGAATGATGAACCTCAACATATTTCCTTTGGCATTTCTTCTTTCTCTTCTCAGTCTCTGCCTCAGTCCAAATGTGTGGATAAATGTCAGCCTGGCTTTGTCAGGAAGGCTCGAGAAGGAGAGCCAGTTTGCTGCTATGATTGTGTTCCTTGTCCAGAGGGGACCATCTCCATTCAGGAAGGTGGGTGCTATTATGCATTTTAATAAGAAATGTAAGTTTGATGGTTTTGTTCTTAATTTTCATGGTGTCCAATTACTACCACAACAGGAGAGATAAGTAAAAGATTTTGAAGGATAAGATAGGATGAAAGATTTGAATTGGTTAGGAAATCTCTCTTTTATTTGCCAATTTGGATGTGTCCTTCCATATTAAACTTTCTTAGGAACATTTGAATTCTTTGTAACTTGAGGGATGGTTTTAGTTTAATGAAGTTTGCTCACTCAAACCAACTTTATATTAGAGGCTAAAAGATACATCAATCATATATTTAATCAATTACTCTTTATTAAGATCATAAATTGTTTTTCTTTAGATTTAAAGTTTTTTCATTTTCATAATATATAATCACATATATACTATTACATAGCCAACATTATATTGTATTATTAATTCATCTTATCATAACTCCCAAAAACAATTATTGGCTCTTCTGCTCTCCATACAACATATTTGTACCTTATCCAGCACTTTCTTCTCCTTCTCTCCTTCCCCTTCCCTTCCTCCTTTCTTCCCTCTGTCACCCTTCTCTTCTCTCCTTCCTCTTCCTCTCTCCTTCTCCTCTCTCCCCTTTCCTCTTCTCCTTTCTCTCCTCCTCTCTCCCCCCTGCCCTCTCTCCTATCCCTCTCTTCTTCCCTTACCACTCTCCTCTACTCCACAACTCATTTACTTGGTATATTTCAGCTTCTGAGCGAGCTCCATTTTATGTTGATGGTATTTATAGTTCCTTTTCAATATACATATTTAATTTTAACATATCCTTTTTGAAAAAAATAGAACGAAAAATATACATATATAGTCATTGTGCTTTTAAAACCCCACCCCACCCTCAGCCTTGGGGTAAGATGTAGACCTGGTTACAATTCCCAGCTATTCTCATCATTATATTTATATAATTATACATGCTTACATGCCTCCAATTTGTGATTCTGTCTTTAAATCTCTATAATTTCCCATCGTAAGTATATTTCATGTTCCCTCTCCATTTTTCCATATCCTGGATTTGATTATCCTTAATTGTCAAAAAATGGCAATCCTCACTCTTCAATGTTCATTACAATTCCCTTAATCTACTATATAGAATAACAATAGTACGTATCTTACTTTGTTCATCCTCTTAAAAGTTCTATATATGTCCATGTTTCATATAGTTTAACTCATACTTAATTGTCCTTCTATTGTTATATTCAATCAATTAGCAACTCAGTTTAATTATCATATATAAAAGTGAATCACAAACCTCTGCTTTACAATCTTCCCATATCAGTTTCATATTTGTCCATATTCCATCTATATTAACCTCTATTTAATTATCTTTCCATTATCATATTCAACCAGTTAGCAACTCCATTTTATTAATATATTTAGGCATAAACCCCTTATCTTAGCTTTATATTTTCCCATATAGCGATTTCTAGTTGTTTGATTTTTTTCCTAGTAAGTCTTTTATACCAGTTTTCTGTTCCTGCCTTCTCCCTTTTCTTTGTTATGACATGTACACCCTCTTCAATTTTCCCTAAGCGACCATCAAAAAATATTTTATATTTCTTTTGTTGGGGCGTAACCTCTTTCTTCAATTTTCCTTATGCAATTGACAGCCTCCAAAACATCTTTGTCTGCTTTTTATTTCCTACAGTTTCTACCCCATCATTGGCTTCCCCCCCCCCTTCTCCTTTGCCTTCTTCTGTAAATACCTGCTTCTCTGGGTTCAGAATTCTATTTAGGCTTAATTTTAATGATTTATGCATATTTTTTATAATTTCATATAGGTCTTCAAATTCCCAGCTTTCCATGATATCCAGTTTCAAAGTTAGTTATACAGTTCTTATTTCAGGGTTGTGGTCCACCTTAAATTTATCTACTTCAGCTGCTGTCTCATCATAAAACCGTCAAGTGGATAGTTCCTTCCCACTTTTTCTAATCTTTTTAATTTTCTTTTTTGCTAAATATTCAGATTTACAAACAATTATAACACCAACAAAAAAAAGGAATATAGTCCTGATTTTGCAAAAGGGAAAAAAGTCTAACATGCTGTATTAGGATTAAAAATAACAGAAAGCGTGTGTGTAGGGGAGAAAACTAATAAAATATGAATATATTTAATATCCATTGATACTAATGTTGAATTCATTCTCTATTTAAACTTGTTGCCCAAATCTAGAGAGGTTGGATTCTGTTCCTCTTCTTGAATTCTTTCATGAATTAATCTTTCTTAGGAGCTCTTTATTTTCAAATTTATTTATTGAATTTATATGGCTGACTATTTCACACAAAGTGACTCTTGTTGGCATACAATTAAAGCAATAATTAAAAATTAACATAATGAGAAATAAACACTGAAAGCAAAACAGGAATGCCTCAAGTTGCTACCAACTATACAACAAGCACGCAGGGCTCTATTACCAAGTGATTCCCAGGACTGTTGACCGAATCACATTTTCACGGATTTCTACAGCTTGGAGATACTACCTAATCCAGGGTAGATAATTATTTTTAACTGGAAAGGGCTGTACAATCTCCTCTGAAGTAGGCGATATTACAACCCTTCTCAAGAGGTTATCCATAGATCCAACCATGTTAAACAACTTTTACCATGTGTCCAGGATTTTTACAGAATTTATTGAGAGCATAGTTGATGGGTCAATCATCAATAACTGAGTTTAAATATTCCTGGGGGAAAAATGTATGTGTAATCTTTCAAAAATTTAAACATTAAAAAAATGAAGAAACATATTTCCATCATCATGCCTCCATTTTCATTTGACTATAATTGTTTAATCATCCTTCATCCTAAAATGTACCAAGATTTAAAACCTGACCACATACTGGCATTTCATTTGTTATTCCTAATATCCTCCAATAACACTATATCCTTATGGCCTATTCTGGCTAAACATCAATAATATTTAGTAACAAAAAATTCTAATCCTGTTTTCCAAATCACTGTTTATAATTTACATCCAATTTCCTTATGTTGTACACATACATATACATATACATATACATACACATACACACACACACACACACACACACACACACACACACACAC